ATGTATTTTTAGTTGTCCGATTAATTTCTTTCTGTTTTTAGTAGAGACGGGGTCTCACTCTTGCTCAGGCTGGTTTCGAACTCCTGAGCTCAAAGAATCCGCCCGCCTCAGCCTCCCAGAGAGCTAGGATTACAGGCGTGAGCCACCACGCCCGGCCAGTTTTAGGTATTTTGATTTGTGTTGAACATGTGATAATTTACATCTGTTAGCATTATCCATAACATACATGAACAGTTCCTAACTTACAAACAAAACTTATAGAGAATTTATATGGCCAATGCCATCCCTTGATTTGTTTTTCACCAACCTTACTTTCACTACTATGGAAGTTGATACTGTCAAAGTACCCATTCCCATGGTCAGAACTGACTGCTGTAGCTTCCCAGATGTGAAATCTGTACCTCTGAGCCCCTCCGTCTCACCTTTCCTGGCTCTTCCTCCTAAGATATATGTATAAATGTTATTTGCCAAGAAAAATCCCTAATGCTGATTAAAAAAAAAACCAGTGAGGTTATTTTCTACAGGAATTAGAAGATCCTAAAGACAATAGGGGATGGCACTGCCCCATATGTTGCTATGTTTAATGCTAACTGATATAAATTATTTCATGTTCAGCACAAACTAAAACATCTGATAATCTATCCTAGCTTTGTTACTAAGTGAATGCTGGGTATTGAATAAGCCATTTAAGTAATTTGAGCCTCAGTTTCTTCCTGTAGAATATGTAATATATTGAAGTTGTAGCTGTCTTTACCCTACCTTCCAGTTCCAAAATGGTCATGTTCTCTATATAGTTCCATAGAAAAATAATAGTCTGATTATTACATTCAGGCTGGTTTTAGATGCCAGTTACTAGTCTGAATATATATTAGGGGTTATTAGAATTCACTGATTTAAAGAGCTTTATAGTTGGGAAAGGACAAGATAACTCAGCTTTTACCTACCTACCATAACATATACATGACATCATATACATTCAACTAAAGGAAAAGAGTGAAAGGAAAATACTGAAGTTTTTAAAGAATACCTCAGGTGCTACAAAGTTCGCAGTATAACATGGAGTTAAGAGAAGTCCATTTTCTCCTCGAAGTTGTTTTGCGAACCCAAAATCACAGATCCTAATTGAATCTGCATTGGCCAATTCATCCATATATAAAATATTACTAGGTTTAAGATCACGATGAACAACCTTGAACATAAAAGAAAAAAAAACATTAAATTTCTATAACTAAATATCTACAAAACAGTTTAAATATATTTCCATAAAAAGAAACTTTCCCAATTATAAGATTTTGAAAATTACATTTTATCCAACCTTAACAGCCAAAAATATACACAGGAAATTATCTCTATCAGATAGACACTCTAGTTTCTATTAAGCCACCAGTTTTGTTAACCACTTCCAATCTCAAAAATATCCAAACTCAATTCTCAGATCCACTTTTGGATATAATGGACTAAGACCCTACCCAACACCCACTTCCCTGCAGTAAACAATTATAAAACCTGGATATAATAAAAAAAAAATCAACTACCTGAAGGTACTGGAGAATAAACAGAAGCAGATAGATTCTGGTGAGAAGTACATACTTGGTTGAAGGAGGGAATAGAGGGAGCTATACAAGTAGGTTCCCATATCTGTGGCTTTTAACCTGAGGTTAAGTGCAGTTCCTATGGTACACAGTGGTGGTGAAGACACTTGTGGAAAAACCCACAGTCTTTCTGGCCTGGAGGACCACAAAAGAGATACTGGAAAATTGTGAATGATGAATGGAGGAAAAATATTGTAAAGGAAAGAGCCAGAACTGATCCTTGAATCAAAAATGTGTGGAAAAGGGTCAAAACAGTTCATATAAAGACAAATGATATGAACAATGATCAGAGCTCTGCCCAAAAAAAGTTTTCAGTTCAAGCCCAGCCAAGAAAGTTACCAACTTAAACAAAACAAACAATAATAACCATTGGAGAAAATTAATAGAATGCAAAAATCTCCAATATTTACTATCATAATGTTAAAAATATAATCCAAAATTATCTGATATACAAACAGCCAAGAAAACAGAACAGTTTCAAAAAAAATCAATAAATTCTGACTCTAAGATGAACCATGTTGGAACTAACAGACAAGGATTGTAAAGTGGCTATTACAACTATCCCCAATAACATAAAACCAAACATGCTTTCACTGCATGGCACTCTCAGCAAAAAAAAAAACGGGAAGTCTCAGGAAAAAATAGAAATAATGAAGAACAACCAAATGAGGCCGGGTGCAGTGGCTCATGCCTGTAATTCTAGCACCTTGGGAGGCTGAAGTAGGAGGATCACTTGAGGCCAGGAGTTCGAGACCAGCCTGAGCAATATAGTGAGGCCCCATCACCTCTACAAAAGATAGAAAAATTAGCTGGGCATGATGACATGCCTGTAGTCCCAGCTACTGCAGAAACTGATGCAGGAGGATAGCTTGAGCCCAGGAGTTTGAGCTTGTCACTGCACTCCAGCCCGGGCAACAGAGCGAGACTTTGTCTCAAAATAAAAGATGTAGAACCAGAAAAAATTCTGAAATTCCCTACGTGATGATTTTCCTGCTACAACTACCCACTTCATTTAATCTAGCCTTATCTTTTATCAGAGTTTACTACACTGAAAACACTTTAAGGACAAGAACCAAGTCTTACTCATATTTGATTCTGCAACACCTTTTACAATGGCTGGCATGTAGAAATGCTCAATATGTGTCTGCTATTAATTAATTCATGTAAGAACTGGAAGGTTTATAAAATAATAAAGAAGATATGCTTATTATTTTCCTCCTTTCAAAAATTTTGGTCTTGCTTTATTTTACAGAGTGTTGCTAGAGACAACCAAGAAATTAAATAATAGAACTATTCCTTTAGCACTACATAATTCATTTCAAAATACTGAAAATGTACTCCATTAAACCACACAAAAAATGAATACCACCTTATTTTTATTAATTATAAAAGATGCCCATGTGGACTTTACACAGTTTCAATTCTGAATTGTCACTTTTTAATTGTTTATTGTTAAGTGGGCACTATCCACTATTATGACTGATTTCAGTGTTAAAATTTTTAAATTATTTGCTACATTGTTTTCCTCGTACAGCTATATATAATAAAAGTTTAGTCTTTATTTCACCATATTACGGGGGTACAAATGTTTATGTTATATATATATCGCTTTTGCCCCACTCCAGAGCTTAAAGCATGTCCATCCCCAGATGATGTGCACCACACCTATTAGGTGTCAATATACCCATCCCCTCCTCCCCACTCCCACCTGCCCGACACCTGATGAATGTTACTACCATATGTGCACATAATACCAATTTGATGATGAGTACATATGGTGCTTGTTTTTCCATTCTTGTGATACTTCACTTAGTAGAATGGGCTCCAGCTCTGTCTAGAATATATAAGAGGTGCTAGATCACCACTGGTTTTTGTGGCTGAATAGAACTCCACATTTTATTAATCCACTCATATATTGATGGGCACTTGGGTTGTCTCCACATCTTTGCAACTGTGAATTGTGCTGCTATAAACATTCTAATGCAGATGTCTTTTTTAGAGAATGCTTTTTATTCCCTTTGGGTAGATGTCCAGTAACAGGATTGCTGAATCAAATGGTAGTTCTACTTTTCACTCTTTGAGGTATCTCCATATTACTTTCCACAAAGGTTGTACTAATTTGCAGTCCCGCCAGCAGTGTATGAGCATTTCAATCCCTCCGCATCCATGCCAACATTTATTGTTTTGGGACTTTTTGATAAAAGCTATTCTCACTAGAGTAAAGTGATATCTCATTGTGGTTTTGATTTGCATTTCCCTGATGATTAGAGATGTTGAGCATGTTTTCATATGTTTCTTGGCCATTAGTCTGTCTTCTTTTGAAATGTGGAGGAAATGGACAAATTCTTAGAAACACATAGCCTCCCTAGGCACAATCAGGAAGAAACAGAATTCCTGAACAGACTAATAACAAGGACTGAAATTGAAACAGCAATAAAAAACTTTCCTAGAAAGAAAAGTCCCTGGCCGGGTGGCTTCACAACAAATTTTTACCAGATGTACAAAGAAGAACTGGTACCTATCCTGAGAAATTATGCCACAACATCGAGAAGGAAGGAATCTTTCTCAACAAGTTTTATGAAGCCAACAGCACCCTGATACCAAAACCAGGAAAAGACACAACAAAAAGAAAAATTACAGACCAATATCCCTCATGAATATAGATGTAAAAATTCTCAACAAAATCCTAGCAAACCGAATTCAGGTGCTTATCAAAAAAATAATCCATCATGACCAAGTGGGCTTCATCCCAGAGATGTTGAGATGGTTCAACATATGCAAATCTATAAATGTAATTCACCACACAAATAGAAGTAAAAATAAAGACCATACGATCCTCTCAATAAACTCAGAAAAAGCATTCGACAAAATTCAGCAACCTTTTATGATAAGCACGCTTAACAAAATAGGCAAAGAAGGGAGTTACCCAAAAATGATACAAGCCACATATGACAAACCCACAGCCAACATCATACTGAATGGGGGAAAACTGAAAGCATTCCTGCTTAGAACTGGAACCAGACAAGGTTGCCCTCTATCACCCCTTCTATTCAACATAGTGCTGGAAGTCCTAGTCAGAGATCAGACAAAAGAAGGAAATCAAGGGCATCCAAATGGGAGCAGAAGAGGTCAAACTGTCGCTCTTGGCTGAAGGTATGATCTTATTATATCTAGAAAATGCCAAATATTCTGCTAAGAGACTACTGGAATTGATAAACAAATTCAATAAATCTCAGGTTACAAAATCAGTGTACAGAAATCAGTAGTATTCCTATATGCCAATAACAGTCAAACTGAGAACCAAATCAAAGACTCAATACCCTTCACAATAGCAACAAAGAAAAAAAAATCCTAGAAATATATTTAACTAAGGAGGTGAAAGACCTTTACAGGGAGAACTATAAAACACTGAGGAAGGAAACAGCAGAAGACATAAACTGGTGGAAAACCATATCATGTTAAGGGTCGGCAGAATCAACATTGTTAAAATGCCTATACTACCCAAAGTGATCTACAGATTCAATGCAATCCCTATTAAAATACCAACACCACTTTTCTCAGATCTAGAAAAAATAATTCTACTCTTCATATGGAACCAGACAAGACCCCATATAGCAAAAGCAATCTTATCAAAAAGAACAAATTGGGAGGCATCAATTTTCCATACTTCATGTTATACTACAAGGCTACAGTAACTAAAACAGCATGATATTGGCACAAGAACAGAGACACAGACCAATGGAACAGAACAGAGAACCCAGATATAAAACTATCCTCAGATATATAGCCATCCAATCTTTGACAAAGCAGACAAAACATACACTGGGGAAAAGAATCCTTATTCAGTAAATGGTGCTTGTAAATTGGATAGCCACATGTGGAAGGTTGAAATAGGATCCGCTCCTTTCACCTCTCACAAAAGTCAACTCATAGTGGATAATAGACTTAAACCTAAGATGTGAAACTGTAAGAATTCTAGAAGAAAATGTTGGAAATACTCTTATAGACATTGGCCTAGGCAAAGAATTTACGAAGAAGACCCCAAAGGCAATCACAGCAACAACAAAAATAAATAAATGGGACCTGATCAAATTAAAAAGCACAGCCAAGGAAACTATCGTGAGAGCAAACAGACAACCTACAGAATGGGAGAAAATACTTGCATGCTACATATCTGATAAAGGGCTGACAACTAGAATCTATATAGAACTCTGGAAAATCAGCAAGAAAAAAATCAAACGACCCCATTAAAAAGTGGGCAAAGGACATGAACAGAAAAGTTGACTTTTTTAGAACTCGATTCATTTGCCTTCTTTATCACGATACAGGAAGCAAAATAACAAGCCTGCCTCTCCACAATAAAATTTAATGTATTAACACATCAAGTGTTTAGAATATAAATTTCTTACTGTATTTAGGGAAAGAGTTGGCAAGGCTCAAGATATACAGTTCTATTTCTGACAGAATTTTATATGTTAGGTATTTTACAATTTGAATAATATTCACAATATGTCTGTAGTTAATTCTTTTATGTTTCACTTTTAAGTTTGATTAGGTTTAATAATTTCAAAGTCAAGTTTAGGTACATTTATAAAATTCACACAACTTTTAATATTAATATGCTATTAAATCAGGGCCAACAGGCAGAAAGAAGAGAATTAATAAAGCATTAGCCAATTTCCTGAATCCATAACCTTTGCTACATTATGAGTTTTATTAGGATAGTCTCTATAAAAATTTATGTGACAGAAAAAGCAGTTCATTTTAGGTAGCATCATGTCCTATATATAATTTTATAAAGATGTAGGTCCCAGAATTGCAAGGAACAATATAACTACAACTTACTCCTTGACAATGAAGATAGTCAACTGTCTTAGTTACTACATACAACACATCACTAGCCTCCCGTTCTGAGAAACATTTTTGTTTGAGAATACGATCAAGTAGTTCTCCTCCTTTCATCAAATCCGTAACAAGGTAAATGTATCTACCATCATCAAAGACCTAAAAAAGAATGCAGTTTTAAAATGTTATTATTTATAATTATAATTCTAAAATATTTAAATTGTATTTGCTTTTCTACTAAACCTCTAGTATTAAAAAAAAAAGACATTAATCCTTTATGGTTAACATAGTACCGGCTGTACTGAAGGTTGAATCAGCTAAACAACCTCCTACACAGTCCTATGAGACCATGTTAAACATATAATTTTATTAACTTTTCAAGTTGTAGGTTATAGGTCATCAAAGAATGTAAATGAAAAAACAGAACTCTGTGCCTCTCAAATGATATCTATCTCATTTTTTACTACATGATAGCTACTTCTCTAATAGTAAGCTTCCTTCTACAAGTAAATATATTATTTGTTTTTATACCCTTAGTACATTATCTGAAATAGTGTCTTAAATGTTTGTTGAATTAAAATAGTATATATAAGAGAATAAATAAAAAATATGCATACCCTTTTCACTCAGGGCATGTGAGATATACATCTATATATACAAATCTAAACTATTATTCAAAGATTACAAATCAAAATGCATATCATATCATCTGAAAAAAAACGGATCAAGATGATGACTGATTTTTCTGCTTCTCTAAAGAGGAAAGAACATTATCTTCTTATGTGAACAGTCAGCATTCAGGTACATCTATTAATATAAATTAGATATTCATTTTACAAAAATGATAGACTAATATCATTTCACTCAAAGAATAATGCCTAATGCTACAGTCAACTGCTGTAGAGTAAAGAAAGTAAAATCTTCAAGAATCTGGCAGATTCCTAATCTCATGCATCTTCTATATTTGTAGTACTACGGAATAATAAATTGTAAATGGTGCTACTTACAATGTTAAGTAACCAGTCATAATACACTAAACTAATCAGGACACTCTTATTTAGCAACCATCCTAGTTCATTTTTGATATTCTGTAAGAAGAGGAGGAGTGTAGAATCACAGGAAAAAAACTATGAAACTGGCAAATGTAAGGATTTTGCAATTTTGTGGCATGAAATCAAATATATCACAGATATACCAAATTTCAATAAGAAAAATAAAGTTCCAGATCATAACTTCATCAGCTTAGCTGAAACCTAGATTTTAAAATACCTACATCTTTTAAAGTGATAATATTGGGATGTTGTCCATAGCGCATCAAAATTTCAATTTCTTCTGAGGGGTCACGCTTACTTTTGTCAATGATCTAAGAAATAACAGAAAAATCTCAGAGGAAAAGAAATTATTGTGTCTAAAAATGAATGAAATATTTTCAATTTGGTTACATTTTTAAACAAATACTTCTTTTAACATTTAAAAATTTCCTATAACTGAAACTTAACAGAAAGAAAAAAGATAAACCAGTGTACTTTCTTTAACATTATATCCCAGTTCACTGAAACTACACTAAATGACAATGTGATTCATATGTGATTGTAATTGTCACAATTGCTCAATCTTCACATACTAGATTAAAATAAAATTATTCAAATACAAAAAGTCATTAAATATCTAATTCCTCCAAAATAAAGCCTTGAAAAAAACTCAAAGTGAAAATATTAAGTCTTAGAGCTCTCTCTCATCATCTTATCTTTCTTATCTTCATTTGTTCCACTGACAATGTCTGTCACTGAACTTATAATTTAAATTACATGCATAAAACAAACAAAAGTCAGGCTCAGAGACAATACCTTCACCGCAAATTCCATGTTCGTAGTTACATGTATGCATCGCTTACAAACAGAATAGGAGCCAACACCAATATCCTCTTTCAATTCATATACTTCACTAAATTGTGCCGCATTTCCATTTATCTGTTTTTTTAAAAACGTAAAATACTAAGGAGAATGAAACATTTTCACATTTTCTATCTTTTGCCCTAAATATACATTCATCTTAAATTTTAAAAGAAATCAAGAATAACTCATTCTAGAGAAGTTTTATCAATATTTATAAATTGCTTAAACATATTCTGAACCAATCCTAAATTGTAGGCTTTCTGGATCCCCAAAGCCAATACAATAAATCAATTAGCTTATACATGACCTTTATATTTTCTTCACAACAGACCACATAAATATATTTAAAGGTCACTACTGTCTGATCTTTTCCAAAATATACAGAGACATCTTTAACTCATGATTATACCAAGAGACAAAAAAAGGAGTTAAAAATCACTTTGTAAAAAACTATTAAAAATTCAGTGGCTGGGTACAGTGGCTCACACCTGTAATCCCAGAACTTTGTGAGGCCAAGGTGGGAGGATCACTTGAGGCCAAAAGTTTGAGAATAGCCTGGGCAACATAGCAAGATCTCATCTCTGCAAAACATAAAAAAGAAAAATTGGCCAGACGTGGTGGCATGCAGCTATAGTCTCAGCTACTGGTGAAGCTGAGGCAGGAGGATCACTTGAGCCCAGGAGTTTGAGATTGCAGTGAGCTCTGATTGTGCCACTGCACTCTAGCACAGGTTACAAAGTGAGACCCTGTCTCTAAAAAATAAAGAAAATAAAAATCCATTAGCAATAAATAATAGAAATAATTATCCCCAAACTGATATATCCCTAAACTGAATAATGTGATTAAGTGGAATTTACCTGAACGATTGGTAATACATTTGCACTTGTAATAGGAGTGATTTTATATTCTTCTGCAATAGAAGTTGCAACAAAGCTGAATCCTTTGAAGAGTTGATGAGCATTTGCACTGGCTGGCAAACCAGGAGAATCTAATGTTCAAATAATTAAATTTAATTAGAACTACACAGAATTCTATGATATAAGATGTCATAATTTTTTAAAATATAAAAGAAACCATTAAATGTCACCATCTGACATATTATATGTTTGATTTATTATATATTTTCTGTCTCCCACCACTCATATACATGTTCCATGTGGTCAGTAATTTTTATCTGTTCTGTTAACTGCTGTATCCTCGTTGCTTACTATGTAGCAGGCATTCAATATTTGTTGAATAAATGCATGAAACAGATGACACTAAAAGTAAACCACCTTAAATTCTAAACTGTAAGAGTCAGAGTAATATATTTCATGTTTAATCTCCTACCCCCTATTCTGTAAATCATCAGCATGTCAAAGGACTTATAAAACAAGAAAAAAAATAAAAACCTGCTACCCTTTTCCCTAGTCCCTGCTCTTCTGGCAAATATTTCCCATTTAAAGCCCCTACTTGACAGATGCCCAAATAATGTTGTACATAGAATCCATACTTACAGAAGAGCAAACCAATGCTCTGCAAACTTATCATTCTTTTAGTTTTTGACCTAAGAAGATAGTTTATTTTTTAACTATCTCCTGTAATAAAAGCCCTGATTTTACACATAAACATGCATTACCTTTAGGTGTTTTTGCAGTAAATTCAGGATCAAAACAAAAAGTATCATCTGGTTTTCCAGAAGCAGGTTTAAAAGGAGGTTGAACTTCTCTTTTATATAATTTCTAGAAGAAACAACAGGGTAACATAAAAACATATTAAGATTTTTAAAAATTATTATACTTTGTAAGGTAAAGCAGAATATTCACAGTCCTTATTAAAATACTCATAATTCCATAAAAGAAATTTCAACAGCCTTCAAATATCTGTTAATAAAATTATAAAATTTTGAGAGATGATGTCCAAAATCTATTAAGGCCACAAAACACAGCAGTGATGTCACAAGTTGCATTCACACAGGATAATGATGTTCAGTTCTGAGTATCAAAAACTGATTTGAATTCTCACTGATAATATAACCATACAGAATATATTACAATGTTGCCATGCAGAAGTAACTAATAATGCTCAAAATCAATAGACTATTTTCAAGAAATATATTTCAACTAAAATATTTTGTTTTCACGTAAAATACACATTAAATGTACTGTTTAGGGCTCCTATCATAGAGTGTAAAAATTTAGTCTCGTCTAACAATCTAACTTGCTAAAATTGATATGTTTTTGAAAAGCATAGAAAATATCTTATATGAAATTCTTCTTTGCTGGGAAACCCACTTTTTGAAAAGCTCATGGTCCTACACTGGGGAAAAATTAATAAGGACTTACATTAATTTTCATTCACTTAAATATGTAAACATTCCACTGACTTGTTATTTAAATTAAAAACAATGAACATATTTACTCTTCAGTTTTTTACTCATATTAATATAAAGTTATTCAATGACAAACTATATACTCAACTTACATTCCAATCAATATTTGCAAAAAAAAGATGTCTTTTGATTTCCTCAACACCTTCTGAACCTATAAAAATGGAAATAATTTTTTATTGGTATTATTTTTTTTTTAATCTTGCTCCCTGGCTTCCAGGCTATCTGTAAACAAAAGTATACATACTTCACAGATTCTTTGAAGTGAAAAGTTTATGTTTTCTTATCTGGCATTTTATTAATTTGTCCTTTCACTTTGCTATGTTAAAAAAAAAAAACCCTGATGTTCGTATTTAACTACAAAGGGTATCATGAAATACTAAAGTGTCTCCCAAATGAAATCAAAATAATGTTGAACATAACATTAAAATTTAAGTATATTTTCTTTTATTTATAACTTACATAATAACCTCACATTTATATGCCAAATTAGAAAGTACAAAGGAATAAAGTGACATTGAAATATTAACACGAGGACATAAATAGGATAATAGGATCATGTCTGAACCCAGGGAAAGGCTACCAGAAAGTGGTCAAAAAATAAGCAGTTATAGAAACGCAATATTTACTTTGAAGACTATTGGGATAGACAAAATAATTATATTCAAATATCTAAAAAGATTATCCATACAAGGGAAAGTGCTGTGAATTATTTAAAGAGAAGTGATCCATATTATATACATAACAATATATGTTGAACAAAAATTTTAATTAACTAGACTACTTCATTTTTAAATCATGGATATAACAGAGTTTACTATTTCCAGAATACAAACACAAAATGGAAAATTCCAGGTATAAACATATAGCAGCAGTAATAAACTTGAATTAGGCCAGAATACATAAAGATATAATTATCTTCCCAAAACATGTAGTACATTGGTATAAAAGCTAAGAAAATCAATACCCAATCTATTTGCTGGATTCCTTTTGAATAACATCCTTAGAAGACTTTGTGCTTCACCACTAAGAAACTGAGGCATTCCAAGTTTTGCTCTGGAAAAGAAGAGTTTAGAAAAATTTCACTTAAATCTAGCCACATTTCTAACAATGGCAAGTAATGTCCGCTATATGGTAGGAGAAGGGAAAGAGTGTGAAAAACGTTCTTTTGTGTCAATTTAAAATCACAATAAATTTCTCAAAATAAAAAGCAAAAGATTTTTTTCCCAAAAGGAAAAGATAGCATTTATACTTACTTTAATATCATATTCATAGTCTCATTTCTGTCTTTACCTTGAAATGGCAGAGTACCAGTAAGCATTTCAAACTAAAACAAACAAACAAAAAATTACCACATAGTCAATTTAGCACAAAACTTAGAATATATAATAAAATTATTTAGAAAAAAAATTGAGACTCCTACTGCATGATCATCAAATCATGCAGGATCTACATGATTGACAGTGGGTCAAAATTTGACCAGAAAACTAGGTCACTTCAGGACATATACTTCTGGTACCCCCAATGTATACATAGCTCAACGGATAGGCAAAAAATAAGCACAAAACCCTTTCAAATTCATACATGCCCAAGAAAGATTCAATCATTTTCATTCCCCCTATTCCTCCAAAATTAGGAATTAAAAAAAGAGCGGCAGAAGCAGAACACATGCACATTTGCCAATACCTTTAAAAAAGAAAAATATTGAGACAGTTGTACATAGCAGAAGGAAAACATTTTCCCAACGAGATTTGATTGCAATGCAGATAACTAGAACATAAAATGATGGTATAAAATAGGTCTAAAAATAAAGATCATAATAGCTCATTAAGGAGAAGTTTTCATGTTTCTCGTATTTAAATCTCCAACTCAATCTCAAAAGGGCTTTGGCCTCAGTCCTCTACTCATTTATCTGAACTCACAACCTAAGTTAGCTTATCCATTCAATTCTCTCCTGTATCCTGATGACTCCCAAATCTGCTGCTCCAGCCTTAATCTCTCTCAAGCTCCAGTTTTCCTTGAAGAATCTTTAGTGATGGTGCGCTACCAGAGACTAAAGGGGTAGAGGTAACAGTGGCAGGGAGTGAAAGAAGAGAAGGATACTGTATCGTAATCACACTTTCCCTCAAAGAAACTAAAAGTTGAGTACATATAGCAATATGGTCGTGAAATGATTCTTAGTCTCTCTCCACTGCCCCTCCTAATTTATCACCACCCAGGGGTTAGCCACTAACCTATAGTAACCAATGCTACCTGTTAAAAATAAATTCTTTGCCACTTCCAAAACCAGCTGTCCTCAGCTCTCTCTTTTCTACTAACCTGCCATTCTTTCAATAACCTAAAGTTTATAAAATTTTAGAAGTATCTTAATCTTTGACCCTTCCCTTCTGTTCTACCTGTGTCGTCATTTAATCTGTTACTAAAGTTAGTCACTTCTTCCTTTGTAATGTCTTTAAAGTTTCCTCTTTTTTACTCTATAATCTTACAACTGTTTTGTAAGGAGTCATTTTTGGTCTTCCTGATTCTAGTTTCTTCTATTTTCAATCCATTTATATAATGCTGCCAAGGCTAATCTTCCTAAACTACAATTTTTAATTGCCATCCTGTTTAAGAATCTGCAATAGCTTCATACTGCCCAGAGAATTACATGCAAATGCTTATAGGTTTATAGGTTCACTTCCTCCACCTTTACGCTCATTCTCCACTACTCTAGACAAACTGGTTCTCCAAGTCTTTGCTAATATAATCACAATACTCTCCTTCTTGACATGAAACTATTTAAATTTTATCCATCCTTCAGGGCTTGGTTTAAGTTCTGACTCCTCCAGTTTTCCTACATCAACTTCTATATTAAGTCTTCTCTGAACTCCTAAGCTGCTGCTTGACAGTTTATTAAGCTACTCCAATTGTTTCCCCGACCAGGCTGTATGCCTTCTTGGGTCTTGGAAAATGCCGAATAGTGTACTTTGAATCAGTTCCCATCCCACAGCCCTGCACAAATGTCAGGTTTATAATAGGAACTTAATATACTGATGTGCCATTCAGTGATAAATGGGCAAAATGAATCAGACCTCAAAAGCAAATTACATCTGATTCAATAGCTATTCATCTATCATCCTACTGACTATTGCAAATGCTATGCTTTAATTTCATACCAAATTAGTCAGTCTGTATTAAGCATCTACTATATACTCACTATGCTAGGTACTGTGGGAAATGAAAAGTAGTATAAAACATGATTCCCCTCCTCAGGAGGATTATAATCTTTCTAGGGCATGTTTGAATTATCTGACAATAAGACATAATCTGGTAAGATGCTAAGTTACGTGGTATCTAATTAAAATACCATATAACTGCTAAACTCAGCATTCTGAAATCTAAAATCTGACAGACCTTTTTCTAAGTTTCAAATGTGAATATTTTATATAACAATGCTGGACTTTACATTTTCACTAGCAATTTTAAAAGAAATCAGAAAACCAAAACCCTAATTCTCATTGTATAGCAGCTAGCCAATCACAAGTTTTTAAATGTTAACCATGAATTTTCAGAATCCATTTCTTACCTAACTCATCCCCAAATTTAAATTAAAATAAAATTCTAGGATTAGTAATATCATATATTGGCATAAATAAGAAAAATAATGCTACTTACCATAAGTACACCATATGACCACCAGTCAGCACTCTGAGAATGGCCTCTCCTATTTACTACTTCAGGAGCCATATATTCTACTGTACCACAAAATGAGTAGGCCTTTTTTTCTTGATCTACTGACTCCTTGCTGAGTCCAAAATCTACAACAGTATCACAAAAAATATATCTGAAAAACTTCAGAAAATAGAAAACACCAAAAAAACCCAAAATGATGTATTAAACATTAAAACTATTTATGGATGGCCTACAATTATTCTTAAGAAAACCCGTGTGAGACCAATAATGGAAAGCAGTCTGTATTTCATAATGATACTCTTTAAGAGCATTTAAAGATTGCTCAGTTAAATCTTATCCTCTAAATACATGCTTTCAGATCTGTATTAGAATATCATGCAACAATTTTGATAGAACAACAATTAAATCGAAGTTGTAATACTGATCTAAGTTTTAAAATAGACTATGACAAATCAAAGATAGCACCTTATATTTTTAAAAAATATTAAAAAAGCAAAGTTTTCTTTGGGTTTGGTGAGCTTCCATTTTTGTTCAAAGCCTTCAACAGCTAAAGGTATCGATATATGGGGGGGGACCAAGGGCAACATACATAACCTAAACATCTGTACCCCCATAATATGCTGAAATAAAAGAAAAAGAAAATAAATAAATAAATAAATAAAACCTAATTCAATTTAAAAAAAATCAATCTTATTTCTATGTAGTACCAATGAACTGGAAGAGAAAATTTAAAAAGTACATTTATAATACCACCCAAAAAACCAAAACATGAAATCCACATTTATAAATATATAATCACAAGTATAAATATGCGAAATGTATGCAAGACTTAAATGTTGAAAACTAGAAATGTTGATGAAAGAAATCAAAGTAGATCTAAATAAAAGGAGAGATATACTGTGTTCATGGACTGGAAGATTCAATGTTGTTAAGATGTCAATTCTCCCAAAACTGAAATATAGATTCAATGAAATGTCAATAAAAATCCCAGCAAGATTTTTTTTTTGTAAAAATCAACAAGCTGATTCTAAAATTTGTATAAAAAGGAAAAGAAAATAGAATAAGCAAAACAATTTTGAAAAAGAAGAAAAAAAGTTGAATGACTTACACTACCTGACTTCAAGACTCACTATAAAGCTATAATAATCAAGATAGTGGGGTACTGCAGAAAGGCTAGACATATGTATCAATGGTACAGAACAGTATCCAATAATAAATAGACTGACATACATAGTTATTTCTCCTATAATGCTTATTTTGAATATGTAAATTTGTTCCAATGCAATTGATATATTAGCAAACAATTTGAGCATTACAGGAATTTCAAGTTGGCCTATATGCGATTTTATCTGCAAGAAACACACAGGGAACAGAGAAAACTGCACCCAGCTGAGCTTAGTCAAGTAGAAATGCATAAAAAGCACACATGCACATACCTCAAATATCTACCAGCTACTTCAGTTCATTGTGTTTGTTACGAGCCATTCCTGTCCACCTCCAGTGCTACAACATTCCTTCCAATTTGAGATACCCTACCTTCCACTACTTAATTATAATTTACAAACTGTAACTTCTCTGACACCCACTGCAACAAGCAAACTTCAGGTCTTTTTCAAGGTAAGGTAGCACAATTCTTGTAGTCTTTATATATTTATCATTTATAACATGTAAAACAGGGCTACCATTTTTACTAGCTTTCTTTTTCTAGTGTGTCGCTTACTAAACATTTTAATGTTACACACATTACCCCATTTTGCAGATAAGCCCTGTGCTTTTTACTATGATATTTTGTATAGTGTAGTGATTAAGATCATATATGTCACATTATAACAGAACTGGCTGTGTACTATCAATTGATTTCTGACAAAGGTACAAAAGCAATTTCGTGAAGAAAGGACAGTCTTTTCAACAAATGGTGCCAGAACAAATAAGGTATCAATACAGAAAAGTCTATCCTCATACCATAAGCAAGCATTAACTCAAAATGGATCCCAAACCAACATGTAAAATCTAAAACTATAAAACTTACAAAAGAAAACACAGGAGAAAATCTTTGTGATCCTTTGTTAGGTAAGGATTTCTTAGGTATATCAAAAATATAATCCACTCATGTATTGATGGACAC